GGGAATACAATTCTGGGTTTGTTTGAAGCTGCTTGGAAGCTCCGCATTTTTCTATTATCACTATTATTTCAGTTTTTATTTTATGACTATTATTTTATTTTTCATTCCTTATTTATTTTTAATGTATAAAATGACTATTTTACCCTCATATTTAATTTTCTATTAAAACGTTTATATCCTTAATTTTCTATTAAAACTAGACGGTATGGGTGAAATTTGCGAAAAAAAAAAGTTTATATCCTTATTTTTAACTTTCTCCTACTTTGACTCCACCTAATATCACACCAAATCTGTGCACACTAATTCAGTGCACACACATCCTTCATGTATTGGGGCTCGCTGCAACCATTTTTTAATTGGAATATACCTTGATTTTGAATTATTTTTTCTGGGTTTACATTACGTGGGTTTTGGTTTTCCATGCGTGAGAGAGAGAGTCGTTTTGATCTTTGTGAATTTTTATGCATGGTAGCATCTTGCCCACGGTTAAAGAAACGTATAAAAGAGAGGTGGCGACGACTGCAACCATGGTCAGGGTACTATCATGCATTAAAAGCTTTACTTTCCATTGGTGTTCATCCATTCGCAAAAATCAATATGCCTTCCTGACTCGCATAAACCACGCCATCTGACGACTAATGTTCTTGCATCTCAGCACTATCCTTGGCTTTGAGGTTTTTTCTTATAATTTCAAAGATGTTGTATTAGGATTCTAGGATAGTGTGTGGCACATTTGGTATGTTTTGAATAGATATGAGTTAATTGTGAATCTTGTTTACACCCAAATTAAACAGCCAATAAGGACAAGACACGTGGAGGAAACTGGGCTTGGTCAGAGGCACCCTCGGCACCCTACCTACCGATCTCTCCATTAGGGCAACGCCCTCTCCTGGGACACGTGGCGCGCTCCCAAGCGACGCCCAGTCCCACATCGAAATAATCAACAAAATGCACACCTCCCAAGAGCTATAAAAGGAGGCCAACTATCCCAAAATAGAGGTAATCAGAACTTACGGCATACAAGCCTATTGATCTGTCAGTTGAACTTTCTTTTCCCGAACTTACTTAAGCATCGGAGAGCCTTCGGCCGGTACCACACCGGTGCCCCAGGTCTTACCGTGCGTTTACTCATATTGCAGATTACGCAGGCTACCGAGGCATCAAGGGTACCGAAGGCATCAGATTACTAAGTTGACCCTCTAAGTCAGAGAACCACTTTTTGGCGTCAACAGTTTGGCGCC